TTGGCAAAGGCGCGTCCCCGGGGACGCGCTTTACCCGTGTTTTCGCTGAGTTGGATGCCACGTGTGAAAGGCGCGTCCCCGGAGACGCGCCTTTGCCAACGCAGCAGACACGTGTGGAAGGCGCATCCCCGGGACGCGCCTTCCATTAAATGTCATAAATGCCCCCATCCGTTTTTCCTAACTACCCCTCCTCCTCCCCTATATAAACCCCCTCAACCCTCACTCATTCTTCACACCAAAATCATCTTCTCCTCTCTTATAACTCAAATTCTCCAACTATTTGAGTTTTAAATTTGTTATTAGTGGTAAGAAATTTATTTTTATATTAGTATTTTTTAAATAGTTATTATTTTTTATATTAATATATTTATGTAAATATTATTTTTTATTAAAATAATATTTATAATTATTATTTATTTAGAATTATTAATTTTTTTTGCTAATTATATTGTTTTGTCTACAGTTATAATGGAAAACGAAATGTTGTTGCGATTGGATATTGATCTGCAAGAGAGGTGGTGCGATTGTGGTTTCTTTCAAGCACTCAAATATCCATGCTCTCATGTCATTGCTGCTTGCTCACATTCGCATTTGGACTACAAAAATTATGTTGATCCCGTATACCAACTTTCACAAGTTTTCAAGGTATATGAATTTGAGTTTCCGCCCATAGGAAACGAAAGAGACCAAATGAGATTCAAACTTGGCTTACAATTGTACCAGATCCATTGCTATTAAGGGACTCAGGTCGTCCAAAATCTACTAGAATACATTGTGATATGGATATTCGGAGAAGTCAACAGAACAAAACGATGTGGGCATTGTAGAAACATCGGGCACAATAGAAAAAATGTCCAGCTCTGTTATCATCATATAACCGTTAACTCTTATGTAATTAATGTTTTTAAATGAATGTTTTTATTTCTAATAATTTAATGTTATTGCATTTATATAATTTGTCAATGTATGTACACCTAAATAATTTTTTTTAACTTTTAAATACATAAATATATTTAATATATTTATTTAATATAATATTTAATATTATTAGTTATAATTTTTTTTAAAATATAATACTAATTCCACCTTCTAAGTAGAGAAAAATATTAAATTAAACAAATTAAAAGTTATTAAAAAATTTATGTATACGATGACACATTTCATGTTCTGATTGGAGGATTAAATTTATTAAATTAAATTTTCAATAAGACTAATTTTATAAAATATGTAAGTCTTGGAGATTAAATATGTAATTATACTAATTTATTAACTTATGCATCAATATTTTCGTTAAAATATTAATATGAGATGACTAGATTGATAACATTTAAATAATTAACTAATAAAATTAATAGATCGATAATCAAAATCAAAAATACTCGAAACTTGATAATTCTTACATTATAATCGAAACATTTTACATAATATATTATTAATTTATAATAATAATAAAAATAAACTATTTATTATAAAACAAAATATGTGTCTGCTGAGTTGGCAAAGGCGCGTCCCCGGGGACGCGCCTTTCACACGTGGCATCCAACTCAGCGAACAACACGGGTAAAGCGCGCCCCCGGGGACGCGCCTTTACCAACTCAGCAGAAAGGGTGCTAGTTCTGGAAATATTGGTCAAACGGTGTCAGAAAAGTAAAATTAAAAACCCCATACTATCAACCTATAATTCATTATTATTCTGTTATTATCCATTCCACCAAACTCAGACCATACCCTTCTGGTGACGATTAGATGGGGAAATATGAAATTTTTCTAAGAATAGAATTCATATTCTCTCATTTGGTCTGATCGGAAATGTCATTTCCGGTAATATTTTATTACTAATAGTAGATTTTTTTGGGTATATTACCGGGAATGTCATTACCTTCATTCCCTTATGTATTGTAACATTATCGGCGTTTTGAACTAAAATGCCCTTAAATTTTTTTTTTCAAAAATATAATTCTTCTTTCATTGAATAATAAAAATTCTACGAAGGTTAAATTACAAATTTATCCTTAAATTATTTTATATTTACAAAAAAAATCTATAATTAAAATTTTATATGAAGTTCAGGGGTTAAAATAAAATTTTACCCTTTCATTAAATATTTTTATATTTTTAGTTTTGTAAAAAAATTATATAAATATTATGAATTTAGTTTTTTTTTAAAATATATAAATATTTTATAGTAATATTATAGTAGAATTCAACTTGTTAAAAAATAAATATATAATAAGGACAATTTGGTCAAATATATATTCCAATAATCTTTTATTTTTTTAACCAAACAAGGTAATATTACATTCCTTCTAAACCAACCAAACACAAAATACAACATTCTCAGTAATCCTATTCCCTGATAATATTTTATTCACACTGGTAATCTTATATTCCGTGAACCAAACACACTCTCAGTTTCAAACAATTTTGGATTTCTTTTTCTTAAGAAGTTTATTTTGTAATCTATAACATTTGTTACGTTGTTCAAGAAACTCGTTACGTTGAGTTAATTAATTTATCAAATTAATATTTTTTATTCAAATTCATCACGTCGAGGTGACGAGTTTCAATAAAAGTATATTTTTAATTTAATTTTATCACATCCGTGTAAAAAGTTTAAATAATTTTTTTTGAAACTTGTCACCTCAAAATGAAGAATTCAAAGTCACAGTAGTAAATGTCGTAGATCCCTAGATAAACTTCTATATGTCCTATTGGACTAATTAATTACACTGTTTGCTCTATTGCACCAAAAAAAACCACAATTTTGGCTTTATTATGAAAATAATAAGAAAAATATTTTTTTAAATAAATATGGACATTTGAGTATTATTTAGGGAAATATATTTAGATAAATGGTTTTATATAAATTTGTTCTTAATTAGATATAACTTTATTTAAATCGTTGTGAGTTGGATCAAAATTAGAGCGTGTATTTTAAAATAGAAAGTTGATGATAGTTATGGATAATTTTATTAAAATCGTGAATACATGCCGACAATTTTGATACCGAGGATGTAAATGCAAGAAAAGGAAAAGGAATAAGAATCAATCAAGAAAATAAAATTTATAGGATGAAAACAAAAGAAAAGGAAAAACAGGAATCGATTAAGAAAATAAAATTACAAAAACATGCACACTTACTTCCATGTTATAACCGCAAATGAATACAAATTGGATTTGGTAGTAACAAATTAACAATCACATGTATGTATGAACTTTTAACGCTAATTATTTAATAAAAATAATAAATGTTATATTTAAATACTTATAAAAAATAATATTTAATTAATATAAAATTTATCTTTTTTTATCATTAATAATTTCTATATTAGTTACCACTGTCTCCTTTGTCTACCTTTTTTTTCTTTCTCTTTGAGTTTGTATCATTTTTCATAGATTATATCATTTTTTTAATTTTTAATAGGCGACGACACTGACTTTGATGCTACTTGTCGATCACTGATTCTTTTTTCTCTTTATTTTTTAATAAGAATAAATATGCATGTGTGATGTTTTTCGATTTTTTTCTCGGTCGTTTGTTCGTTCTTTTATTTATGTTTTTCTTTATGTTGGATTGGACGACGTCATAACTGATCAAGATGGCGCTTATTCAAAATCTTGTTGATCTTCTCTGCTATGGACCTTTGGTTCGAATTTGGATGCGTGATTTTGTGTTTGTGGATAGTTTCTCACGACATTGGCTCTGATCTGCAGTTCTCGATGTTCTTTAAATATCTTAATTTTCTTTTATGGTTCGTTTGCCGATGCAATTAGATTTATTAGTATCTATTTTTGTTCAAGTATCTTAATTGAGTTTTTAACATTTTTCATGTATAACCTTTATATAATCTAAAGTGGCTAGTTTCAATGTTATATGAAAAGTCAAAATTATGTATTTAATTTTCGATGATAACTGTAAAATCTTTTTATAATTTTAGATATTTTCACTTTTTAAATAATATTAACGGCTTTTATTAAAAAAATTTATATATTAGTTAGATATCGACGTTTATAAATATTTAAATTTATATTTTTTTAAATTTGATTGATTAAATACAATACCTACACATATGTGTCTTGATCGTTATCCAACTTAATCCGTACTAGTGTTAACACTTTCTTTTCCAATATTGTTTCTGTAATTTTTATTTTCTTAATCATTTTTTAATTAAAGACAGACTTAGATTTTTTTATTTAATTTTAGCCCGTTTTTATTTATAAACATTTCAATGTAAAAGTGCATCTCCTCGTACAAAAACATTCCCCCCCCCCCCCAATTAAAACTCATATGATTTAATCGCCATAAGGACACCTATATGGAGTAGATAGGTTCAAACCTCCTTGTGCTATTCTTTTTACGTAGAACATTTTTTTGGGACAAAATTACGGGTAAATTTTTTTTATTGATATTAAAAAATAGTAGAAGAAGAGGATTTTCAAAACTAATTTAACATTTATTTTTTTAATATTTTTTTATAGAAATGATTAATTTATTATAATAAAAACTTTTTTTTAATATTATGGGGTATGTACAAGGTAATATATGTTCAAAGATAACTATCAACTATTTGACATGCTCGAATTCGGGACTTCAAAGAATAACAACGATTTCTTTATCACCGAGATTGCTTGATTTGTGCTAAAAAAAAAACTTGTATAGCAATAAATTTACACAAACTACGTTTCTTATTTTTAATCAATATATTATAGAATATGTTTATTACTTTCAATTAAATTAGAATTTTCTTTTATTTTTTCTTGATTTTGTATATTTATCAATTTTAATAAGATCAAATTCAAGTAAAACTCTAATATCAATTAAGATAATGATCTTTGAAGACAAAATAAAAGAAAAAGATAATTACACATCAAAATTTGGAGCTCAAAACTTGAAATTGTGTTTCGTTGTATAACTATACAAAAATTTGTATGATGTAGACTGAAATGGAAGTCCTCTAAAACTTGGATGCCACACCAGGATTTGGACCCATGACAATATTCTATTGAGAAATGATGTTCAAAAGAGAGGTTCTTGCTCTGAGCAGCTTCCAGAACAGGCACTCCAATTTGTTCTCTACGCCTTCAATGCTACTCTCCAACGCCACCAATCTTTTATGTGCAATTTGCATCTTATCAACATCAAAAGCATGTCTGCAAAGCGCAGAGTCCACGCTTTCAAATTCATTAACAACATCTTGCTCCTCTTCACACGCTACCACACCCTTATGCATCAGCTTCGCCACCAGAGACCATCTCGTTCGCTTCGATGAAACCGGTGCCGACAGAAACGAGAAAAGGGATTGAAAGATGGACGTGTTCGTTACATTAACTTGTCGCAGAATTCGAATCACGGCCGAGAAATGATGGTCCTGGTCCAGGCACGGTGATGCATCGAGTTTATCATCCATTTGCTTCAACTTGAATATCACTTTCTTCGCCTGCTTCCTCATCTCCTTCCTGAAGGAAGTGTAGCGAAGGATGCCATCCTCGATGCTCGAAACACCCTTCCTCCTCCTCAGAGAAGATTGGAGAACACGAACCTGTTCCTTGATCTGAAACATGTAATCCCTCTCAATACCGCAAATATCTAAAAGCCTTACGTATCTGTCCAACAATTCATCGACACATTTCTCGTGTCGATGCACCGAGAGTACTTGTTTTACCGAAGTCGTGTTAAGAAGGTCATCCATGCATTGATACAAGTCTTCAAGCCCCGAAAGACCAGCAGATATCGACACTGATGTCGATAAAGCCGATGCTTCCCAAGTTTTGATCCGGTTCAGCTCATCTTCCATTCTAAGAATCGTAGGATGTGACCTCGAAGGCAAGCAAATTGATCTTACATGGTATTTGCTAGCCATTTTAATTTGCATTTCTTTTATCTCTTTCAGAGCTCGAATTAATCTTGTTTTAAATCAAACCACAACAATATCTATTTATACAACAAAGCAAGGGTATCGAAAGCTAAAATGTGACCACCATGTGAACCAGAATGGGCTTTGTCCTTTGAATTCGGATACCTTGTCACATCATTTCACCGGCAAGGCTCAAATAATAAACTATTCAAATATGGTTTTGGCTCATTTGATTCATATAATAATGTTTGATCAATATTATTGAAATATCAGATATGCATGAGGTGTCGTGTTGCCTTGTCGTTTCTGTGTTTATTTATGCATGTAACCTAAATAGTCATCACCAGTTTTGCCTCCCTTGGTGCCACATTATCCACACACCCAAACCATTTTCAAAGTTTAAAGAAATGCAGGTGCCTCGCTTTCTATATGGTTGGCTTACCTGGTTTTGTCTCGCATTTAAGAACCTTTGAATAGCACAAGGTATTGAATAATAATTTTGTTGAGATTGGGATCCAGATAGTTAGATAAAACCAAATGCAATAATTTATAGGGTTTTTTTTTTTTATAATTCCAGGATCTTGATTACAGCAATAATTGGCCCACCTTTGTATTGCCTATAATATTGTGTGCACGAGTGGCATGTATCATTTTATTTGTATAATTTAAAGGTTGAAATTTGACATTCACAAATATAAATAATATTAAATTATATCAATAAATAAAACTTAAGAATTATTCATGACATTAACATATATTAAGAATATTTAAAAATAATGTAATTTTTCTTACTAAGAATATATAAATTTATTGTAATTTTTCTTCAAATATGTGACTTGATTTAGTGGTTAAAATAGTTTCATCCCTACTTAAAATTTTAAATTTAAACCCCCTCGTTAGTATTTTCACCCCTTTCTTCATTTTTTTTGTCATTAGTTAGAATTATATATATAAGAATGTGTAAATATTAAGGATCAAATATGTAATTATACTAATTTTTAACGATCATAACATCTCCTCTACTAAATGTTAATTATTGATGGCTTGATTACAACACTTAAAAAGTTAAATGACCTTATTGATAAAATCAAAAGATTTGTGGTCAAAATGAAAAGTGATCATAGTATAATTTACTCTATTTTATATTTGAGGTTTCTTAGAGTTTGCTCATTGACTCAGGTTTTCAGAAATTAGTGTAAATTATAATATTGACCGCTTAATTATTTAACCATTTTACTTTTACGACCGATTTTTCAATTGTGTCAACTAAACCACCTAACTATTTAATTAGATTCAATCAGATCACACCTTTGAAAAAACAAAACCCAGATCACATGTCGTTAAAAACCAAACAACACATCTATCTGGTTTTTATCTACTAAAGGTGAAGTAAACGTGTAGTTTTTATAATACTTTTAAAGTCAACCCGAAAATAAGGAAAGATTTGTAATACCCTAATTTTCCAAGTAACTTAAGTTAATTGAAGGTGATCGAAGAATGACTTGAAAACGATCATACAGTGATCCAGGTGGTGTTGGTGGCATGACTTTGCTTAATCGGTTTACTGTTGGTTGAACATGGGCTGATGTTGAAATTTAAAAATTTGTAACCATTTTTTTTGTTAATACCCGAATACCAAATTAAACCAGATTCAAATAAAAAATAAAGCCCAATTATGTTTAAAACCCAGTCCAAATTACAAAACCTTTACCAAGCCCAAAATACACCAAATGTCATGTTAACCAATCAATTAACTCATTACCTGAGCCCTATCAATTGAAAACCCTAACATCAATCATTCTAAGCTCCTGTCGCCCCCAAACTTCAACCCTTGGATCACTTTTTATCAACACTCCAGATCTGTCACAGCTAGGGTTTGTGAAATTCTAACCCCCTTCATGTTCCAGCCGCCAGCAATGGTCTCGATCTTTCTTCGCTCCTTCAATCATCATCATTCATCAACAACGAGATGCACAGTGGTCCCGATCCACATGCCTCGCTACCAGCAAAAGCCTCAGCAGTGGTCTCCCTGGTCCCTCTGCCATGGTAAAACAAATGCCCGACAATTCCTGGCAAACACCAGATGCAAAAACAATCTCCTGGTCAAATGCAACAGAAGAGGACGAAAGCAAAAGTTGGAAAGAATTTTCCATTTTGGTCATTTTTATTGTAAATTGGGTTCTAGAAAATCCCAAAAGCAATTGTAAAAAGGGATCCCCTTTCCCACCATTCGAAATATACAAGCGATACAAGGGTCTTCCCCATTTTCTGGAATCGAATTCTTTCAAGTAACATAAAAATCAAATCAAAACTGATGGTAACCATTTTTTGTAGTTTCCATCTCATTTTTGGCATGCATGTTTGATTTTCAAAAAATAGAAAAGGAAAATAGTAGTTTACCTAAGGGTCGCCGGAGTAGAGAGGGAGCGAGGGACGCCGAAGTTCTTAGGAAAGCCAACGGTCGCCAGAGTTTGTGAATATGAGAGTTTGGGTTTAGGTTAGACTTGCTTAGAGGGTTTGTTTAGAGTTCATAGGTTTAGATTCGGGTTTGGATAAGTAGATCGAAGGCTTAGGGTTTTAGAGGGTGAGCTTTTGGTCTTTCCAGCCATCGTAGGTGGTGGCCGGAGTTGGGAAAATGTAGACGTATAGTGTTTGGGGCTCTTGGTCTTCGGGTTTGGCGTTCGGAGTGAAGATAAAAGATTTGTGGGTAATTTTAAGTCTAGTTTCAGTCGGTCCGGCCACCGTCGGTGGTGTCGGTTCGACGATTTTCGACTGGATGAGGAAAGGGATGTTTGAGGAGTACAAACGGGAAGAGGCTCGAGAGTTTTTTTTAGATTTTTGGGAAAAAATGATGTTAAACAAAAAAATGTATATTATATAGTACAAATTTATGGGCTAATTGCACTTATATCCTTCTATCTTTACCTTGTTTTTACATATCTGTCATATGTTTTGTTCATTTTATTTTAATTTGAAATCTGTCCTTATCCTGATATTTTCCATTTCTGTGCTTATTAGTTAGCTAGGGTAATATTTTAGGATTAATTTTGTTTATGCCCCTGAACATTAGCCGTGTTTTTTTGATGTGATCCATGTATTGTGATTTTCGTATTTGGTTAAATTGTAATGTCCTGATCTCTTAATGTTTCATTTTTAATTATTAGTATATTTTAAGTTCATTAAAATGAAAATCCTTGTTTTAATCTCTCTAATTTAAGCGTATTTTTGTATACTGATCACTGTCATATTTCTAATTTATTTATGCTTAATTTTTATTTATGTCAATTTAGTCACCATGTTGAATTTTGATGTTTTATTAAAATTAGGTCCCTAAATTATTCTGTTAGTTTTAATTTAATATAATTTTAGCCTTAGATTTAAACTTCTTTTAATTCAACCCTAAGATTTAGGATTCTTACGCTTTAGTCCTTGAACTTTAGAATTAGGTATTCTTTTAACATAATTAATTAGGTCTTTAGTTAGAGTCTTCACATTAGTTTAATTTCACTTTACTCCTCTAATTTAGGGAGTAATATGTGTTCGGCCTTGCCTAAATGCTCAGATCATCTCGATTATTCGATTTAATAACTGGTTAAAATTAAATAGGGTTACTAATAGAGCTTCCATTTCTAGGTTTAGTCCCCTAGGTTCTTTAAATTACATAAATTAAAACTTTATGTTAGGGGAAGCCTTAATTAACCATTTAGAATAATTATGTTCAATAACTTAATTGTTTGATTGCATTTGATTTTTAAGAATTAAGGCAATGTTCAAGGGGTGAACGCTGGTAATTCCCGAAGTAGATGGACATCCTTTTCAAAACCCCCATATCATGATTTTTCAAACCTTAATGCAATGTTCGTTTATGTAGATCAATAATGAAGCTTTCACATTACATGCTCGAGAGTGGTCGTTATTGGTCTTAGTAAACTAACATCTTTTTCCAAACTTGGCATCCATTATGATTTTTAAATTAAATAAAATTTTGAGCTCAATTTTTTTTTATTTTTAAATATAGGGTAATCTACTAGGTACCAATTTTTGGGCAATGTGGGGGTGTTAATCCTTCCCTACGCGTAACTGACTCCCGAATCCTATTTCTGGTTTTCGCAGACAAAAGTTGGTATTTTTGATAAAATAAAAATGTTTTATTAAAATTACTTGATTTTAGATGTTCCAATCACACCTTAAAATAATTGGTGACGACTCTCAACATTTCAAAACCTTTTCAAAGAAAACTCCCAAGTCGCGCTATTTTTTTTCCCATCCCAAGCAAAAAACGGTGTTGATAGCTTGGCAACTCAATTGGGGACTTTTATTTTCTAAAACAAAAATTGAGAGTCGAGCCACAAGTAGATTACCTTATATTCGAAATTTCAAAATTTGAGTTTGAACTTATTTAATTTATGATTCATTATGTTGTTTTCAAAATTCAAAAAGATGTTCTCTCTAGTTAATCTTTTCTCTTGATTTAATATTTAGGACTGTTGGATGCATATCATAGCTCTATACCAAAGCTTTGTCCTGTTTCGCCTAAGTAGGGGAAAACGTCACATCACCTTGGAATATTGGTTTTCCTCGTATAGGTCTGACAAAGTACCTATGGAAAGCATTCTAAATGTTTGTCCGTATATTGGTTTCCGAAACACTCATTTAGTGATGTGATCCCCTAGACTGAATTCGATTTGTAAGTCTGTAATGGGCCAGAATCGAAGTCCTTATTAACCTTAGTAGGTTGTAAGGATAGTTTGGGAACCCTTGTTAGAACCGAACCGTCATATAGAGAATCTAGTCCACCCCGCTAGAGTCATGTGGATAACCTAAGAGAACTAGAACACATGCGGTTAGGACTTTACTTTCCTTTGTGTGTTTTGTTTGTAGCATCATCTATGAGTTATATTTAGTTATTTTTACCTATTTACATTACTTTGATTATCATTTCTATTGACTTGATTTTTCTTTTGCCTTGTTTCGTGTCTTGTCGTGCTTTATTTTTTTCCATAAAC